AGGCTGATTCATGGCTTCCAGACAAAATCAGCCTCTTCTATTTTCTAAATTTTCCTAGTGGCAGTGTTTACTTATGAACAGGCTTTAAATTATATTATGAGAGCACATTATAAGACATTTCCCGCTTTGATTGTAATGTAAAAGCAGGAAATACGTACATACATACCACCCAAATTATTATACTTAAAAGACGTAAGCGTTCTTCCATACATCATCATTTTCATTTCCTGAACCCTCACCAAAAACATTTTGAAACTCAATTGCAATATTGAGAATAAGTGAAAATTACTGTGCCACCTTAAACTGTTGTGGGTCCCGCAGCAGCAGAAACCCTCACCCACATTCCTTTTGAGGAAGAAAAGAAAGAAAACAACTGAATAGTTTATGACTTTTTCATTGTTTTCATGATGGAGAACATACAAAACTCTTGTTCATGTTGTTGCTATTCATCTTGTGTGAAAGGAAGCTGCAGAGGTCTCAAGTTAGCATTACTCTTGCAAGACCTTAAACCCAGGAATTGGAAAAGGGGGTTAGTGTAGCAAAAAAAAATCCTCTTCAGTGGAAGGAACATCTCAAGTAATAGCAGAATCCTTTTTAATCTTAGTTCCCCTGGCCATATTTCCCAGTGAAGTAAATCATTCAAACCTCTGAATAAAATCAAGTTTGAAATGTGAACTCTCTACACTGCATAATTGCACAGGGTGCTTTCTAATACCCCATCTTACATTTGCTTAAAAAATTATCTGGGCAGGTAGGCACACATCCAAGCAAGCATTCATGGTTTTTATTTTCCAAGAATTTCTGTGTCACGTATTCTTTGCAATTAAATTGATACGAGAAATTAGTGCTTTGTTTTTCAATATTCTACAACTATCTTTAAAAAAAAAAAAGTCAGTTGGGGCAAGGACCCTGGCAGGGTTAAATAATGGTGGACTTGTAGTGTATTAATTTTTTTTAGTTTGATTTGATAATGTGCCACCTAGTCAGTGCTAACTCTTAGCAACCACCTAGATAGATCTTCAGTTTGATCAGTCTCTGACTTGGCTAATCCTGTTTTTCTTTGGTAATACAGAGATACACAAGAGCTCAGAAGTCCTACTGCAAAATCTAGAATAATGTTCTTGCTGCAGAATAATTGTACCTGCTTTGTGATCACATTATTTTTATCCTTTCTATTGGATTGGGACAGCCTCCTCCCCCTGGTCCCCCCCCCCATATTTGGGCTACCCTGTCATTATTGCACTTTCAAAGAGCCTTGGAATTCTCGATCTCCAGGAAGATATATGGGGACACTTGAAGATCTTGCTGTCTATTAAAGGATGTTGTCAGGTTAGAGTTAAGTTAAGTTAAGTGTGGATTGTTCATTTTTTAATGTTATGTTTATTATCTGTGAGCTGCTTGGATTCTTCAGAAGTGGAATTGCAAACAAGATGAAGTAATAAATACCTCTGATGAACTTTGTCAGTATTGTTATGAATGTCAGTATTAAACAGTAACATTGTTTAATGAAGTGGAAACTGTCATTCATCTAGAATTCTGAGATATCATAGTTGGTCATGCTGGCTTGGGTTTCTGGGAGTTGTTGTTCTGCTACAGCTGAAGCACTACTAGGATCGCAACTTTGTAAAGGGATGTATTATTGGCCTTTACTACATTATACTCCTAGGGCAGAGTTTCCCAACCCTTCTAGCTTTGTGGACCAGCGGTGGGGAGAGGGGGATGGTTCAGCAAGTGGTGGGCAAGCACATGTGGCCACAAGTCACCCAAATGGGGTTCATCTGCTTGGCCACTGCTCACACAAGTGAGGATGCACACACATACATTTGCCCACCACTTCCGTAGCCTGGTTCCAAACAGCTCAAGGCCTGGTAGTGGGCCACGGCCCAGCGGTTGGGCATCACTATCATAGGGTAATTACTATGTTTGGTTGTCCATGTCTGTAATTTCCATATCTGCTCATTAGGATTGGATCGATAGGAAAATAGTTATCTACTAGAAATACGATTCTGTCTAATGTTTTTTATTATAGGATAAGGAGAAATTAGGAATCTTTTCATAATATCTAGCTCTAATGCACTTGACTATGGGGATACAGAAGTCGTGCTATGGATGTATTAAAATACATTGATATTGCTCATTTAATCTAAAGTGATATCTGGTTATTCCTGTAACTGTTGGAACTATCACCCACATGTTAATATCTGCGTATGCATATTATTATTATTAATCATCACAGAGTCAGCCAGATGTTCAGTCTGGGTTTGGCGGTTTTGTCTATCTATTCAGTCCTTACCAAGGACTTGGGATAGGAAGATGTGGGTGTTTGATGGTATTACAGATATTATTGCAGGATGAAGGCTGTTCCCAGTAAAGCTGCCTTTTGCAATTGACTGATGGCAAATTTTTCAAGGGCAGGGGTATTCAAGTGGCGCTCCAGTTGTTTTGGGATTGCACCCAAGGCATCTATTACTATTGGTACTACCCTTGCTTGCCTTTGCCATAGTCATTCTATTTCTATTTGTAGGTCTTTGTATTTTGTTATCTTCTCCACTTCTTTTCTTCTATCCTGCTGTCTCCAGGCACTGCCATGTCCACTATCCAGACTTCTTTGCCTTTCTTATCGACAAATGTTAACTCTGGGGTGTTATGTGACAGGTGCCTGTTTGTTTGAGTTCTAAAGTCCCAGAACAATTTAACTTCTTCATTTTATATGACTTTCTCTATTTTATGGTCCCACCAGTTCTTGCTTGTAGGCAAATGATATTTCTTGCAGATGTTCCAATGCACCATTGTTGCTGCTTCGTCATGCTGCTGCTTGTAGTTAGTCTGTGCAGTCTTCTTGCAGCAGCTTACCAGTTAGTGCATTGTTTCTTCAGTCCTCTCCTCCTCCTCCTCCTCCTCCTCCTCCTCCTCCTCCTCCTCCTCCTCCTCCTCCTCCTCCTCCTCATTGTGGGGTGCTAGTCTGCAAGCATCCTATGTCATGAGAATGTGGGAACAACCCCCAAAGTAAGCCATGCTCAACAAAGAATGGCAAGGATGTGGTAAAGGAATTTAGCATTGGTAACGAGTTCCTTAAAAAAAAGTCTATCCTAAATATTTTAGCAGTGTTTTATTTTAACAATATGACGGGACCAGTCTTTCTTAGAGGTGTTTTCGTGGTAGCAGAAATGACAGCTATGATGGCTAAATGTCTCTATGTTATGATTTGTAAATAAACAGGCCATTAGGTGCTTGCTGGCTTCCTCAGAGAGAAATTTATAATAGTAGCCGACAATTCTAGGACCTATTCTGCTAGCAGTTTAGTAGCTGTTAAAGAAAAACAACAACAGTAAAACCAAAGAAAATCTCCTACTGCTTTAAGAGGCATTTGCCACTTGTCCTGATTTATCACAATCTACAAGGCATAGTATTCCAGGCAAATGTCGTACCTCAGATATCCTGTACGGGGTGCATTCCTGAAATGATAAACAAGTTTCCTGCCTCCTTCTTTCCCATTGTCAAAGGAGCCGAACTAGGAAAGATCATGATTGGCAAGCTAAATTTTGACAGTGGATTTTGTGGAAACAAGTAGGCTTTTTGGTATGTTGGGTTAAAAAAGGAGAGATCTCTGCAAAGCTGATGGTCTTTTTTTTTTTTTTTTTTGGTCCTTGGTTTCCCTTTGAGTTCAGGCTTTTCCATGCCTGCCAACATTTCAGAATCAGAAATAGGAGCGTGGTAACCTCTAGGCAAGATGAGCAGCATTCAAGTCTAATAAATAAATTCATTGTACCTTGGGCACACCTTTCAACGTTATTTTGGGTGATCTTCCTAAGCAGCACCCAGCATACTAGACATCCAGATGGTATAAATGTTCCTTGACTTAACAGCCATTCCTTTAGTGCAGTGTTTCTCAACCTTGACAATTTTAAGGCATGTGGACTTCAACTCCCAGAATTCCACAGCCAGCAATGCTGGCTGTGGAATTCTGGGAGTTGAAGTCCACATGCCTTAAAATTGTCAAGGTTGAGAAACACTGCTTTAGTGACTGTTTGAAGTTACAGTGGCACAGAAAAAAGTGACTTATGACTGTTGCAGCATCCCATGATCACATGATCAAAATTTGGACACTTGGTAAGTGGCGTGTATTTATGACAATAGCACTACCCCAGGGTCATGTGATCATGATTTGTAATCTTCCCAATCGGCTTCCAACAAGCTGAGTCAATGGGGGAAAGGGGGGAAGCCACGTTCAATTTCTTACTAATTTAACCATTGCAGTGATTCACTAACAACTGTGGCAAGAAAGGTTACAGAATAGGGCAAAATTCACTTAACAAGTATCTCGCTTCGCATTGGAAATTTTGGGCTCCATTGTGGTCATAAGTCAAGGACTACCTATATTTTGGGGGAAATTGGAAGCACTCTACTATTGACTCACATCATGGATTGCAACCTTCTGGGCCTCATTTAGAATTGTGTGAGTGTGTTATGAACTTCAATGAGGCAATTTCTCTTTTCACAAAATGGCTGCTATGGTGGGTAAGACCAAGAATAAAACTGGTAAGGTAGCTCCCACCCATCTCTGCTTGTCTTGTTCTAAGAATTCTTAAGCTGTACAGAGTCCAGAAATATACAAGCAAACCAATTTAGAAATAACATATGTCAGTTTAGAGGCAGAGCAATTAATCTTCTAACTGTTGAACTCTGAGCTATAAATATTATCTTCTATTGGTAATTTTCTAACCCTCAGATGCTTTGGCCTATAGAACACCTAGAGGGAACCAGATTGTATACCCATGTTTGGAGTATTATTTCTTCTTACTGTTCTTAAATTATGGGACATTGTAATTGAAAGGTGCAAACATGCCACTGTAAAACAGTGTGGGAATGTGACAAGAAATAGCACGTAAACCTTACTGTGCTTGAGTGGTGTTATGTTCCCCTCTGTATGCAAATTGAACTGCGTCATACCATATTACCACAAAAGATTGACATTTGATATTATTTTTTTCCTCTCACAGATACTTCCTGGTTTGTTCCTTGGAAATTTTAAAGGTAAGATGAATTTTATTAGCAGCTATTGCAAAGTACTCTGCATTGCATCCCCAACATTGTCCCCTTAGAGGTTTTGCTTAATGCTCCCAAGGAACAGTGGCTCAGATTGACTTATTTGAAAGAAATATGAGTGCCCTTCTGATCAATTTTTCAAGCAGTTTTAAATAACAAATATAAAATTAAAAACAATCTTAGCTTCAAGGGCTAATATCCTATAGTAGGGGATCTCCAAACTTGGCAACTTTAAAACTTCTAGACTTCATCTCCCAGATTTCGCCAACCAGCATGGCTGGCTGAGGAATTCTGGGAATTGAAGTCCACAAGTCATAAAGTTGTTAAGTTTGGAGATACCTATTCTATAGGCAAAAATCTGATTTTGTTAAAAATTCAAACCTTTATGGTCTGCGTTCAGTACAGCGGATCTTCCTTAGAAGGGAGAATTGGACCAGAGAAATGCCATTTGCTCCACCTTATCTAAAGCGCTTGCTGATCTTACTTTCTTTTCAAAATAGATCCATTATTATTGCAGCTACTCTCTTCTCCTTAACTTTTATTTTCCTAGGGGATGTTTGGCACTTCCAGGCTGTTCCCTCCCCTGCCAAATATTTCACACTGAGTTCCAGAACTTGAAAAATCTAAATAGGTAGAAACCCATGTCCCTGTTAGCTCATTTGAACATTGTACCATCACAAAAGTCATGTAAGAAAGAAAATAATTTCACTTTATAGTTTCCATTAAACTTTAGTTTCATAGTTAAAAGGAGAACATCATATCAGTTTCATTTCTTCTGTGAATATTAGAAACAGTGGCCAGAAAATGAATCCTGCCCAGCCTTGATTTCACATGCTGTTTTTTCATTTTCTCCAGCCATCACTGAGGAATGCAGCCTTTTTAATATATAATAAAGTGACCAACTTTTTTACAATGAAAAGGAGGACACAAATAAATTGAAGAAAAAATATCATAAATAAAAGAAACATTTTATTCATTGCAACAATAATACAGACAACTTGCATGTGCAAAGTTTGCCAGCCGGGTGTTTTGGCGCGCTCAGCAGCAATTCCTATTGGCTTTCGAAAACCAATAGCGGGAAGTAGCACAGCTCATGCAAAAGTTGAAAAAAAAAACCATCAAAAAAAGGTGCCAGAACGCCATTCTGAGCGTTCTATGAGAAAAAAAAAAGCCCTGCAGATTAGTCTTCAAATATTGAAAAGGAGGACATGTAGGAGGACACTTTTTGAGGGAGAACAGAACTTACAAAAGGAGGACTGTCCTCCCTAAAGGAGGATGGTTGGTCACCTTATCTATGACCTCTGGACAAAGTGTGGTTAATTTTAAATATCATTTACTCGAGTAAAACCACTTCGAACTTTGGCTTATGAAGCTAGTTTGTTTAATTGGCCATATTTAATATTCCTCGTGGTTTAGGGTTTTGACAGGCCCTCTCATCCAGGCCTGACTGAAAATAGAAGCGAAAGCTGCAGGAGAAGGTGAAGGGACCAAAACTACTTTAATTCAGTTAAGTTGTGGTTTCATAATTTGAACCAGTCTGGTATGCTTCGTTTGTCTCTTAAAAGATGAAATATAGAAGTGTTTTCCATTTGCTTCAGCATTCCCCTTTCGATTTTGAGACAAAAATGAAATGACAGACCCCTTTTGCTGAAAAATTGTTCACTGTTATGTCAGAGAAATGGTGTGCTAGAACAGCAGACCTTTGAAGGTTAACCACATAAGGAAGAGAAGACAGAATTGTAGGCTGTTACTTTGAAAAGCACAATTCCATGCTGCTAAACCATGCCTCTCAAGTCGGGTGAGAGAGTGCACCATTTCTGATCAGACTTTGACAACTGTGTTCCTGTTTCATCAGAAACTCCCCAATGCATTACATTTTATATGAATGACATCAGAATGATTAACACAACTGCTAAATCATGGCCTTCTCTCTGGTTAAGAATACTGCCTTAGATGTTTGATGGAGTATAAAAAATAGAATAGAAAATAACCTGAATGACCACTTTTCTAAAGCTAAAAAAACTGCATCAAATGGGAGATAGGTAACCTGGATTTATTAACAGAGGGGATGCAGGTTTGTATCTGTAAGAAACAGATAGTGGATTGGTGCACACAATCTCCTCTGAAACTTAGTAGAATAATACTGTGAAGAAATTTGCTTTGCAATACAAGCTTAAAGTCAGAGGCACCCAATGTGATGAAACCAAGACCTGGTATCTGTTTCCCAATTTGGTTTTTTAAAACCTTTCCTTCTGTAGTTAGTGAAGACCAAAATATAGCTTAACTTTTTTTTTAAAGTGTTTATGGCTATAGCAAAAGTCAGAAGATCTCCAGTCTTGCTGTTTGTGTTGTGTAAAACGGTCCTTGAGATACTCTAAGCCATTCCTATAGGGGTAATACATAAATAACTTGAAAGTAAAGATAAAAGTATTTTTGTGGTTCCCCCAGTAGCCAATATATGGAAATATTATTTGTTTTATCAACTCAATATTATATAACAGGATTAACATAATTTCTTATTGAATATCAATATTAATATTCCACATGGATATCTATATGAAAGGGAAGATTATTCTTAATGTTTAAATTAAATATACAGAGGATGCTCAAGTTACATATATTGAACTGGAAGTAGGGTTAAAATACTTTCTCTCCCATTACCTGGAGCTTGTTATGGTCTGAAAATAATTCAATCTCAACATGATAGTGTAGCTTTGTGTCTGACAATCTACTAGTTCTCGATTGATAACCATTCATTCAACAATTTCAAGTTATGAGAGCCTTGGAAAAAGTGACTTGGCACCCATCTTCAGAGTTACAACCGTCGTACCACCCATGCAATCACATGATTGCAATTTGGGCACTTGGCAGCCAGCTTGCATTTATAATGATAGCAGCATCTTGCAGTCACGTGATCACGGTTTGTGACTTTCTCAGCCAGCTTTCAACAAGCAATGTCAATTGGAGAAGCCAGATTTACTCAATGCAGGGGTCCTCAAATTTGGCCACTTTAAGACTTGTGGACTTCAACTCCCAGAATTCCCCAGCCAGCCATGCTGTGATTCATTTAATAATGAGCCTTGGTGGCAAAGTGGTTGGAATGCAGTATTGCGGGCTAACTCTGCTCACTTTGCCAGGAGTTCAATTGCTTTGATCCTGACTGGCTCAAGGTTGACTCAGCCTTCCATCTTTCCAAGGTCGGTAAAATAAACCCAGGTTGTTGGGGGGCAATATGTGCTGACTCTGTAAACCACTTAACAGAGGGCTGTAAAGCACTGTGAAGCGGTATATAAGTCTAAGTGCTATTGCTATTAATATTCATGGGTAAAATGCAATAAAATCAGATCTGGTCACGTAATGACTCAGTAATGACTGCGTCACTTAGTGACCAACATTCTGGACCCAACTGTGGTTGTAAGTCAAGAATTATCTGTATTCCATTTTTGATTTGGATGGGTCACACCTGAGCAGAACTTTCTCTATTTTGGAATCTTCTTGAAGAGCTTTTGCTCAAGGAACAACCAGCTGTGGCTAAAAGGCCTTTTGCTCAGCTCCATCCTGGTGCCAGTTGCAGCTTTTTCCAGCTCAGAAAACTTTGTTTATGATTATTCATTCCTTAGTCATTTTTTCTTTGGATTCTGCAGTGTGCTGCCTGTAGGCTTGTCTTTGAAGACTATCTGGAAGTTCTAGCTGCCCCAGAATGCATCAGCTTGGACATTTATGAATACCAATATTTTGCCCATATAATACAGTTGCTTCAGTTAGTTTCTATGCGCAATTCAAAATACTACTGGTCATCTTAAATCTCCTCTTAGCTTGGGTTCTGGGTATCTTTGGGAATGTCCAGTCTATTATATCTTTCTAGTAAGAGCTGGAAACTGTGAAAGCTCTCTCTGACTTCCTGCCTAGAGAGAGTTCTATCTGCAGGGACCTTGGGCCTTCTCTGTAACTCTGTCACACGCTATTCTATAATGTTCCCCTGAAGACCAAGCCAGCCCCATTCCTTTTGAGCTTTCAAAGCAGTCAAGATTTCCAGCAAGTCTTTGGGACCTAATGTGTAAAATGGATCCTCCTAGGAGGAACGGTGGCAGTTCCAGGGGAATTCTGGCAGTTAAGAGTCCATACATTTTTAAATTGCTGGGGTTGAGAAATACTGCCCTAAAATATTGCAGGGGAAATTTTCCAATTTCTTTAGAATTAATATTGACACAGCTTGTTTGTTTGTTTGTTTTTTGCTCCTATAGCTACACCAGGCAAGCTATTAAGCTGATTATTAATCCAGATTTATTTTCTCCTCATGACATAAAATTCACATGATACTAATTTTGAAAATAAGTGCTACTTTTAAAAAATAAAAAATTAAAACGATTAATCAGATTATTTTGTTTCAAGGATTACATGATCATCAGCAAGTTGTTTTGTGCTAGTTTAGTGTTCGTAATGGGAGAAGCCTGGGAGTTTCCCTTTTGCAGAATTTTTTTTCCTCTGACTATCTATGTTTAAGCAGCTTTTTCTATTGTAGAGAAGTGTGATGAAGGGATAAGCTATTGAATGTACTTGTTCAATTAACTGTAAATAGTTTGCAAATAAGTATATGAAATTCAAAACATTTCAGGTAACTTTAATAATGCTAGAATCCAACTACATCATGGTGGCAAACTTTATAATAAATCATGTTTTCTGATTCGATTAATTTCATGGAATCAAAAAATCAAAACGCCTCTAAATTATATTTTGAGTTCATCTTCCATGACCTTAATGGGTTAGTATGATTCTTCCATATTTTACTTTCATAAAAACCCAAAGTGGTAGGTTACACTAGAGAAAGGCATCTCAATGTTTTTTGGATGCTTGTAAGAAGCAAGATAAGTGCAGCTGATAATTTTATTTCCTTGTCTCCTCTTTGTTACAGATGCTCGTGACACCGAACAACTAAAACAGAATAACATTACACACATTCTTTCAATCCATGACAGTGCTCGGCCCATGTTGGAGGTAGGGTAAGAAACTTACCAAACTTAAACCAATGTGGTTTCAGTAGGAATAAGCAGGCAAATGCTATTTTAGCATTAGTACAATATTGACTTAGGACTATTTCTGTAAAGGGCTATGGATAAGAGGAAGGAGGAAGTTGTCAACAATGATGTATAGATGCAGGGAAGGGGCTTTTTCTCAAGAACTCTGATTATCATTTTTCCATTAATCTGCTCAAATGAATCTAATGTCATAATCACGTCACGATAAGTCAGTGTCATCTAACTTCCATGTGATTTAACCAGTGTTGATTGTAACTGTACTTCTGGATTTCTGATTATCATCAAATTGGGCTACAAATGGCAATGTGTATTCCTCCAGACATTGAACCTCAGCTACTGTCAGCTTTTGCGAGTATGGCCGATGGTAAAGAATGATAGAAGTTGTAGTTCTAAATAATAATGTGGCCCATTTCTTGGGGTTCTGTTCAAAAAATAATTAGATCCTATAAACAATGAAACTTTGTTCATTTCAACTTTCAAGATTGAAGATATGTCTGTTTTATTGCATAGTCAAAAAATTAATGGGAATGTTACTCTATGTATATCCTGTAATTAAAACTTGTCAAGTGAGCTTCCTATTTTGAAAATCATGATGCAAGGATTTTATTTTATATATATATATATATATATATATATATATATTATATATATAAAATAAAATCCTTGCATCATGATTTTCAAAATAGGAAGCTCACTTGACAAGTTTTAATTACAGGATATACATAGAGTAACATTCCCATTAATTTTTTGACTATGCAATAAAACAGACATATCTTCAATCTTGAAAGTTGAAATGAACAAAGTTTCATTGTTTATAGGATCTAATTATTTTTTGAACAGAACCCCAAGAAATGGGCCACATTATTATTTAGAACTACAACTTCTATCATTCTTTACCATCGGCCATACTCGCAAAAGCTGACAGTAGCTGAGGTTCAATGTCTGGAGGAATACACATTGCCATTTGTAGCCCAATTTGATGATAATCAGAAATCCAGAAGTACAGTTACAATCAACACTGGTTAAATCACATGGAAGTTAGATGACACTGACTTATCGTGACGTGATTATGACATTAGATTCATTTGAGCAGATTAATGGAAAAATGATAATCAGAGTTCTTGAGAAAAAGCCCCTTCCCTGCATCTATACATCATTGTTGACAACTTCCTCCTTCCTCTTATCCATAGCCCTTTACAGAAATAGTCCTAAGTCAATATTGTACTAATGCTAAAATAGCATTTGCCTGCTTATTCCTACTGAAACCACATTGGTTTAAGTTTGGTAAGTTTCTTACCCTACCTCCAACATGGGCCGAGCACTGTCATGGATTGAAAGAATGTGTGTAATGTTATTCTGTTTTAGTTGTTCGGTGTCACGAGCATCTGTAACAAAGAGGAGACAAGGAAATAAAATTATCAGCTGCACTTATCTTGCTTCTTACAAGCATCCAAAAAACATTGAGATGCCTTTCTCTAGTGTAACCTACCACTTTGGGTTTTTATGAAAGTAAAATATGGAAGAATCATACTAACCCATTAAGGTCATGGAAGATGAACTCAAAATATAATTTAGAGGCGTTTTGATTTTTTGATTCCATGAAATTAATCGAATCAGAAAACATGATTTATTATAAAGTTTGCCACCATGATGTAGTTGGATTCTAGCATTATTAAAGTTACCTGAAATGTTTTGAATTTCATATACTTATTTGCAAACTATTTACAGTTAATTGAACAAGTACATTCAATAGCTTATCCCTTCATCACACTTCTCTACAATAGAAAAAGCTGCTTAAACATAGATAGTCAGAGGAAAAAAAATTCTGCAAAAGGGAAACTCCCAGGCTTCTCCCATTACGAACACTAAACTAGCACAAAACAACTTGCTGATGATCATGTAATCCTTGAAACAAAATAATCTGATTAATCGTTTTAATTTTTTATTTTTTAAAAGTAGCACTTATTTTCAAAATTAGTATCATGTGAATTTTATGTCATGAGGAGAAAATAAATCTGGATTAATAATCAGCTTAATAGCTTGCCTGGTGTAGCTATAGGAGCAAAAAACAAACAAACAAACAAGCTGTGTCAATATTAATTCTAAAGAAATTGGAAAATTTCCCCTGCAATATTTTAGGGCAGTATTTCTCAACCCCAGCAATTTAAAAATGTATGGACTCTTAACTGCCAGAATTCCCCTGGAACTGCCACCGTTCCTCCTAGGAGGATCCATTTTACACATTAGGTCCCAAAGACTTGCTGGAAATCTTGACTGCTTTGAAAGCTCAAAAGGAATGGGGCTGGCTTGGTCTTCAGGGGAACATTATAGAATAGCGTGTGACAGAGTTACAGAGAAGGCCCAAGGTCCCTGCAGATAGAACTCTCTCTAGGCAGGAAGTCAGAGAGAGCTTTCACAGTTTCCAGCTCTTACTAGAAAGATATAATAGACTGGACATTCCCAAAGATACCCAGAACCCAAGCTAAGAGGAGATTTAAGATGACCAGTAGTATTTTGAATTGCGCATAGAAACTAACTGAAGCAACTGTATTATATGGGCAAAATATTGGTATTCATAAATGTCCAAGCTGATGCATTCTGGGGCAGCTAGAACTTCCAGATAGTCTTCAAAGACAAGCCTACAGGCAGCACACTGCAGAATCCAAAGAAAAAATGACTAAGGACTGAATAATCATAAACAAAGTTTTCTGAGCTGGAAAAAGCTGCAACTGGCACCAGGATGGAGCTGAGCAAAAGGCCTTTTAGCCACAGCTGGTTGTTCCTTGAGCAAAAGCTCTTCAAGAAGATTCCAAAATAGAGAAAGTTCTGCTCAGGTGTGACCCATCCAAATCAAAAATGGAATACAGATAATTCTTGACTTACAACCACAGTTGGGTCCAGAATGTTGGTCACTAAGTGACGCAGTCATTACTGAGTCATTACGTGACCAGATCTGATTTTATTGCATTTTACCCATGAATATTAATAGCAATAGCACTTAGACTTATATACCGCTTCACAGTGCTTTACAGCCCTCTGTTAAGTGGTTTACAGAGTCAGCACATATTGCCCCCCAACAACCTGGGTTTATTTTACCGACCTTGGAAAGATGGAAGGCTGAGTCAACCTTGAGCCAGTCAGGATCAAAGCAATTGAACTCCTGGCAAAGTGAGCAGAGTTAGCCCGCAATACTGCATTCCAACCACTTTGCCACCAAGGCTCATTATTAAATGAATCACAGCATGGCTGGCTGGGGAATTCTGGGAGTTGAAGTCCACAAGTCTTAAAGTGGCCAAATTTGAGGACCCCTGCATTGAGTAAATCTGGCTTCTCCAATTGACATTGCTTGTTGAAAGCTGGCTGAGAAAGTCACAAACCGTGATCACGTGACTGCAAGATGCTGCTATCATTATAAATGCAAGCTGGCTGCCAAGTGCCCAAATTGCAATCATGTGATTGCATGGGTGGTACGACGGTTGTAACTCTGAAGATGGGTGCCAAGTCACTTTTTCCAAGGCTCTCATAACTTGAAATTGTTGAATGAATGGTTATCAATCGAGAACTAGTAGATTGTCAGACACAAAGCTACACTATCATGTTGAGATTGAATTATTTTCAGACCATAACAAGCTCCAGGTAATGGGAGAGAAAGTATTTTAACCCTACTTCCAGTTCAATATATGTAACTTGAGCATCCTCTGTATATTTAATTTAAACATTAAGAATAATCTTCCCTTTCATATAGATATCCATGTGGAATATTAATATTGATATTCAATAAGAAATTATGTTAATCCTGTTATATAATATTGAGTTGATAAAACAAATAATATTTCCATATATTGGCTACTGGGGGAACCACAAAAATACTTTTATCTTTACTTTCAAGTTATTTATGTATTACCCCTATAGGAATGGCTTAGAGTATCTCAAGGACCGTTTTACACAACACAAACAGCAAGACTGGAGATCTTCTGACTTTTGCTATAGCCATAAACACTTTAAAAAAAAAGTTAAGCTATATTTTGGTCTTCACTAACTACAGAAGGAAAGGTTTTAAAAAACCAAATTGGGAAACAGATACCAGGTCTTGGTTTCATCACATTGGGTGCCTCTGACTTTAAGCTTGTATTGCAAAGCAAATTTCTTCACAGTATTATTCTACTAAGTTTCAGAGGAGATTGTGTGCACCAATCCACTATCTGTTTCTTACAGATACAAACCTGCATCCCCTCTGTTAATAAATCCAGGTTACCTATCTCCCATTTGATGCAGTTTTTTTAGCTTTAGAAAAGTGGTCATTCAGGTTATTTTCTATTCTATTTTTTATACTCCATCAAACATCTAGGCAGTATTCTTAACCAGAGAGAAGGCCATGATTTAGCAGTTGTGTTAATCATTCTGATGTCATTCATATAAAATGTAATGCATTGGGGAGTTTCTGATGAAACAGGAACACAGTTGTCAAAGTCTGATCAGAAATGGTGCACTCTCTCACCCGACTTGAGAGGCATGGTTTAGCAGCATGGAATTGTGCTTTTCAAAGTAACAGCCTACAATTCTGTCTTCTCTTCCTTATGTGGTTAACCTTCAAAGGTCTGCTGTTCTAGCACACCATTTCTCTGACATAACAGTGAACAATTTTTCAGCAAAAGGGGTCTGTCATTTCATTTTTGTCTCAAAATCGAAAGGGGAATGCTGAAGCAAATGGAAAACACTTCTATATTTCATCTTTTAAGAGACAAACGAAGCATACCAGACTGGTTCAAATTATGAAACCACAACTTAACTGAATTAAAGTAGTTTTGGTCCCTTCACCTTCTCCTGCAGCTTTCGCTTCTATTTTCAGTCAGGCCTGGATGAGAGGGCCTGTCAAAACCCTAAACCACGAGGAATATTAAATATGGCCAATTAAACAAACTAGCTTCATAAGCCAAAGTTCGAAGTGGTTTTACTCGAGTAAATGATATTTAAAATTAACCACACTTTGTCCAGAGGTCATAGATAAGGTGACCAACCATCCTCCTTTAGGGAGGACAGTCCTCCTTTTGTAAGTTCTGTTCTCCCTCAAAAAGTGTCCTCCTACATGTCCTCCTTTTCAATATTTGAAGACTAATCTGCAGGGCTTTTTTTTTTCTCATAGAACGCTCAGAATGGCGTTCTGGCACCTTTTTTTGATGGTTTTTTTTTTCAACTTTTGCATGAGCTGTGCTACTTCCCGCTATTGGTTTTCGAAAGCCAATAGGAATTGCTGCTGAGCGCGCCAAAACACCCGGCTGGCAAACTTTGCACATGCAAGTTGTCTGTATTATTGTTGCAATGAATAAAATGTTTCTTTTATTTATGATATTTTTTCTTCAATTTATTTGTGTCCTCCTTTTCATTGTAAAAAAGTTGGTCACTTTATTATATATTAAAAAGGCTGCATTCCTCAGTGATGGCTGGAGAAAATGAAAAAACAGCATGTGAAATCAAGGCTGGGCAGGATTCATTTTCTGGCCACTGTTTCTAATATTCACAGAAGAAATGAAACTGATATGATGTTCTCCTTTTAACTATGAAACTAAAGTTTAATGGAAACTATAAAGTGAAATTATTTTCTTTCTTACATGACTTTTGTGATGGTACAATGTTCAAATGAGCTAACAGGGACATGGGTTTCTACCTATTTAGATTTTTCAAGTTCTGGAACTCAGTGTGAAATATTTGGCAGGGGAGGGAACAGCCTGGAAGTGCCAAACATCCCCTAGGAAAATAAAAGTTAAGGAGAAGAGAGTAGCTGCAATAATAATGGATCTATTTTGAAAAGAAAGTAAGATCAGCAAGCGCTTTAGATAAGGTGGAGCAAATGGCATTTCTCTGGTCCAATTCTCCCTTCTAAGGAAGATCCGCTGTACTGAACGCAGACCATAAAGGTTTGAATTTTTAACAAAATCAGATTTTTGCCTATAGAATAGGTATCTCCAAACTTAACAACTTTATGACTTGTGGACTTCAATTCCCAGAATTCCTCAGCCAGCCATGCTGGTTGGCGAAATCTGGGAGATGAAGTCTAGAAGTTTTAAAGTTGCCAAGTTTGGAGATCCCCTACTATAGGATATTAGCCCTTGAAGCTAAGATTGTTTTTAATTTTATATTTGTTATTTAAAACTGCTTGAAAAATTGATCAGAAGGGCACTCATATTTCTTTCAAATAAGTCAATCTGAGCCACTGTTCCTTGGGAGCATTAAGCAAAACCTCTAAGGGGACAATGTTGGGGATGCAATGCAGAGTACTTTGCAATAGCTGCTAATAAAATTCATCTTACCTTTAAAATTTCCAAGGAACAAACCAGGAAGTATCTGTGAGAGGAAAAAAATAATATCAAATGTCAATCTTTTGTGGTAATATGGTATGACGCAGTTCAATTTGCATACAGAGGGGAACATAACACCACTCAAGCACAGTAAGGTTTACGTGCTATTTCTTGTCACATTCCCACACTGTTTTACAGTGGCATGTTTGCACCTTTCAATTACAATGTCCCATAATTTAAGAACAGTAAGAAGAAATAATACTCCAAACATGGGTATACAATCTGGTTCCCTCTAGGTGTTCTATAGGCCAAAGCATCTGAGGGTTAGAAAATTACCAATAGAAGATAATATTTATAGCTCAGAGTTCAACAGTTAGAAGATTAATTGCTCTGCCTCTAAACTGACATATGTTATTTCTAAATTGGTTTGCTTGTATATTTCTGGACTCTGTACAGCTTAAGAATTCTTAGAACAAGACAAGCAGAGATGGGTGGGAGCTACCTTACCAGTTTTATTCTTGGTCTTACCCACCATAGCAGCCATTTTGTGAAAAGAGAAATTGCCTCATTGAAGTTCATAACACACTCACACAATTCTAAATGAGGCCCAGAAGGTTGCAATCCATGATGTGAGTCAATAGTAGAGTGCTTCCAATTTCCCCCAAAATATAGGTAGTCCTTGACTTATGACCACAATGGAGCCCAAAATTTCCAATGCGAAGCGAGATACTTGTTAAGTGAATTTTGCCCTATTCTGTAACCTTTCTTGCCACAGTTGTTAGTGAATCACTGCAATGGTTAAATTAGTAAGAAATTGAACGTGGCTTCCCCCCTTTCCCCCATTGACTCAGCTTGTTGGAAGCCGATTGGGAAGATTACAAATCATGATCACATGACCCTGGGGTAGTGCTATTGTCATAAATACACGCCACTTACCAAGTGTCCAAATTTTGATCATGTGATCATGGGATGCTGCAACAGTCATAAGTCACTTTTTTCTGTGCCACTGTAACTTCAAACAGTCACTAAAGCAGTGTTTCTCAACCTTGACAATTTTAAGGCATGTGGACTTCAACTCCCAGAATTCCACAGCCAGCATTGCTGGCTGTGGAATTCTGGGAGTTGAAGTCCACATGCCTTAAAATTGTCAAGGTTGAGAAACACTGCACTAAAGGAATGGCTGTTAAGTCAAGGAACATTTATACCATCTGGATGTCTAGTATGCTGGGTGCTGCTTAGGAAGATCACCCAAAATAACGTTGAAAGGTGTGCCCAAGGTACAATGAATTTATTTATTAGACTTGAATGCTGCTCATCTTGCCTAGAGGTTACCACGCTCCTATTTCTGATTCTGAAATGTTGGCAGGCATGGAAAAGCCTGAACTCAAAGGGAAACCAAGGACCAAAAAAAAAAAAAAAAAAGACCATCAGCTTTGCAGAGATCTCTCCTTTTTTAACCCAACATACCAAAAAGCCTACTTGTTTCCACAAAATCCACTGTCAAAATTTAGCTTGCCAATCATGATCTTTCCTAGTTCGGCTCCTTTGACAATGGGAAAGAAGGAGGCAGGAAACTTGTTTATCATTTCAGGAATGCACCCCGTACAGGATATCTGAGGTACGACATTTGCCTGGAATACTATGCCTTGTAGATTGTGATAAATCAGGACAAGTGGCAAATGCCTCTTAAAGCAGTAGGAGATTTTCTTTGGTTTTACTGTTGTTGTTTTTCTTTAACAGCTACTAAACTGCTAGCAGAATAGGTCCTAGAATTGTCGGCTACTATTATAAATTTCTCTCTGAGGAAGCCAGCAAGCACCTAATGGCCTGTTTATTTACAAATCATAACATAGAGACATTTAGCCATCATAGCTGTCATTTCTGCTACCACGAAAACACCTCTAAGAAAGACTGGTCCCGTCATATTGTTAAAATAAAACACTGCTAAAATATTTAGGATAGACTTTTTTTTAAGGAACTCGTTACCAATGCTAAATTCCTTTACCACATCCTTGCCATTCTTTGTTGAGCATGGCTTACTTTGGGGGTTGTTCCCACATTCTCATGACATAGGATGCTTGCAGACTAGCACCCCACAATGAGGAGGAGGAGGAGGAGGAGGAGGAGGAGGAGGAGGAGGAGGAGGAGGAGGAGGAGGAGGAGGAGAGGACTGAAGAAACAATGCACTAACTGGTAAGCTGCTGCAAGAAGACTGCACAGACTAACTACAAGCAGCAGCATGACGAAGCAGCAACAATGGTGCATTGGAACATCTGCAAGAAATATCATTTGCCTACAAGCAAGAACTGGTGGGACCATAAAATAGAGAAAGTCATATAAAATGAAGAAGTTAAATTGTTCTGGGACTTTAGAACTCAAACAAACAGGCACCTGTCACATAACACCCCAGAGTTAACATTTGTCGATAAGAAAGGCAAAGAAGTCTGGATAGTGGACATGGCAGTGCCTGGAGACAGCAGGATAGAAGAAAAGAAGTGGAGAAGATAACAAAATACAAAGACCTACAAATAGAAATAGAATGACTATGGCAAAGGCAAGCAAGGGTAGTACCAATAGTAATAGATGCCTTGGGTGCAATCCCAAAACAACTGGAGCGCCACTTGAATACCCCTGCCCTTGAAAAATTTGCCATCAGTCAATTGCAAAAGGCAGCTTTACTGGGAACAGCCTTCATCCTGCAATAATATCTGTAATACCATCAAACACCCACATCTTCCTATCCCAAGTCCTTGGTAAGGACTGAATAGATAGACAAAACCGCCAAACCCAGACTGAACATCTGGCTGACTCTGTGATGATTAATAATAATAATATGCATACGCAGATATTAACATGTGGGTGATAGTTCCAACAGTTACAGGAATAACCAGATATCACTTTAGATTAAATGAGCAATATCAATGTATTTTAATACATCCATAGCACGACTTCTGTATCCCCATAGTCAAGTGCATTAGAGCTAGATATTATGAAAAGATTCCTAATTTCTCCTTATCCTATAATAAAAAACATTAGACAGAATCGTATTTCTAGTAGATAACTATTTTCCTATCGATCCAATCCTAATGAGCAGATATGGAAATTACAGACATGGACAACCAAACATAGTAATTACCCTATGATAGTGATGCCCAACCGCTGGGCCGTGGCCCACTACCAGGCCTTGAGCTGTTTGGAACCAGGCTACGGAAGTGGTGGGCAAATGTATGTGTGTGCATCCTCACTTGTGTGAGCAGTGGCCAAGCAGATGAACCCCATTTGGGTGAATTGTGGCCACATGTGCTTGCCCACCACTTGCTGAACCATCCCCCTCTCCCCACCGCTGGTCCACAAAGCTAGAAGGGTTGGGAAACTCTGCCCTAGGAGTATAATGTAGTAAAGGCCAATAATACATCCCTTTACAAAGTTGCGATCCTAGTAGTGCTTCAGCTGTAGCAGAACAACAACTCCCAGAAACCCAAGCCAGCATGACCAACTATGATATCTCAGAATTCTAGATGAATGACAGTTTCCACTTCATTAAACAATGTTACTGTTTAATACTGACATTCATAACAATACTGACAAAGTTCATCAGAGGTATTTATTACTTCATCTTGTTTGCAATTCCACTTCTGAAGAATCCAAGCAGCTCACAGATAATAAACATAACATTAAAAAATGAACAATCCACACTTAACTTAACTTAACTCTAACCTGACAACATCCTTTAATAGACAGCAAGATCTTCAAGTGTCCCCATATATCTTCCTGGAGATCGAGAATTCCAAGGCTCTTTGAAAGTGCAATAATGACAGGGTAGCCCAAATATGGGGGGGGGGACCAGGGGGAGGAGGCTGTCCCAATCCAATAGAAAGGATAAAAATAATGTGATCACAAAGCAGGTACAATTATTCTGCAGCAAGAACATTATTCTAGATTTTGCAGTAGGACTTCTGAGCTCTTGTGTATCTCTGTATTACCAAAGAAAAACAGGATTAGCCAAGTCAGAGACTGATCAAACTGAAGATCTATCTAGGTGGTTGCTAAGAGTTAGCACTGACTAGGTGGCACATTATCAAATCAAACTAAAAAAAATTAATACACTACAAGTCCACCATTATTTAACCCTGCCAGGGTCCTTGCCCCAACTGACTTTTTTTTTTTTAAAGATAGTTGTAGAATATTGAAAAACAAAGCACTAATTTCTCGTATCAATTTAATTGCAAAGAATACGTGACACAGAAATTCTTGGAAAATAAAAACCATGAATGCTTGCTTGGATGTGTGCCTACCTGCCCAGATAATTTTTTAAGCAAATGTAAGATGGGGTATTAGAAAGCACCCTGTGCAATTATGCAGTGTAGAGAGTTCACATTTCAAACTTGATTTTATTCAGAGGTTTGAATGATTTACTTCACTGGGAAATATGGCCAGGGGAACTAAGATTAAAAAGGATTCTGCTATTACTTGAGATGTTCCTTCCACTGAAGAGGATTTTTTTTTGCTACACTAACCCCCTTTTCCAATTCCTGGGTTTAAGGTCTTGCAAGAGTAATGCTAACTTGAGACCTCTGCAGCTTCCTTTCACACAAGATGAATAGCAACAACATGAACAAGAGTTTTGTATGTTCTCCATCATGAAAACAATGAAAAAGTCATAAACTATTCAGTTGTTTTCTTTCTTTTCTTCCTCAAAAGGAATGTGGGTGAGGGTTTCTGCTGCTGCGGGACCCACAACAGTTTAAGGTGGCACAGTAATTTTCACTTATTCTCAATATTGCAATTGAGTTTCAAAATGTTTTTGGTGAGGGTTCAGGAAATGAAAATGATGATGTATGGAAGAACGCTTACGTCTTTTAAGTATAATAATTTGGGTGGTATGTATGTACGTATTTCCTGCTTTTACATTACAATCAAAGCGGGAAATGTCTTATAATGTGCTCTCATAATATAATTTAAAGCCTGTTCATAAGTAAACACTGCCACTAGGAAAATTTAGAAAATAGAAGAGGCTGATTTTGTCTGGAAGCCATGAATCAGCCT